TACAGATGAAATTGATTAACTGAAGCAGGTAATCTAAACCGAACAACACGATACAAGGTTCACTTTATTACACACATGAAACAACAGACAACCAGCCAGACAATGATGTTAAGAACAGTTAGCAAACAGGCAGGGAAGATTTACCAAAAAGAAACTGGTTTCTTCAACCATCTCTGAGAACATCAAGGTGAAACAGTTAAATATACTTGAGACAACAATGATGAATATGTTACACAGGTTAAGTTCAGACTTGCAGCAAGCAGGAGAGAGACAAGTCAACAGAGATTCCAGAAGGCCAACCACAGACAGACACAAACATGTGTGTTCATGTCACTGTATGTTTGTTTGCATCAGGGAAACAACTGGAATAGCAGAAGATACAATTTGAAGGATATCAGACCATCTTTAGGAGGTAGAGGACAGTAGACATGGTGTGATCAATCTGTGGACCTCACACCCCAGTTTGTACAAACCCTACATTTACAGCACACAGAGTGTGGTGTGATCAATCTGTGAACCTCACACTAAAGTTTGTACAAACCCCACACTTACAGCACACATAGAGTATGTGGGCAGAGAGACTAAAGTCTATCAGAGAAACATGAAACTTCAGAAATGGAGAGATTAGGTCAGCTCAGTTTAAATTCAAATATGTTGTGATGGGCACTTTTTGTAATAAAATGTCTGAACAATCTTAACAGGCATGGGTCACAAACAGGTCAATGTGCCATCATGCAGCAATATCACCGACACATCAGCCCCCAGACTGATGATGTTGTCCCCATGGAGGCTTTCCTATGTTGGGGCGAGGCTAGCTGATGGTATCTCCAGGAAGGCTTTCTATGTTGGGGGGAGGCGAGTGCTGCTGATATCTCCAGGAAGGCTTTCTATGTTTGGGCGAGTCGAGTGCTGATTTTGTGTGGTAGCATATTTATTTGCATGTCAGATTCTGAGGGACCCAAGATGAGAGCAGGAAACACAGCTACTGCTGAACTTTCCACTGTTTGGATCCAGAAGCCACAATTTGCCCAGGAAGAATGAATAAACTGTTTCCTGACAAGCATGTCTTAAAAGGGCACAAGCATGTCTTAAAAGGGCACAAGCATGTCTTAAAAGGGCACTAGTTACGGATTTGCTGAAATCTGATGTGTCGAGCTAAAAGATGCAGATCTCGTAGCCTAGCTGTATACCACAAAACAACATGCTGACCGCCCTTTTAAGGGTGATAAAGAAGAAGCAGTGTTTGTTCAGACTGGCATAGACTGTCACATACTGGCATAGACTGTCACATACTGGCATAGACTGTCACAGACTTCATACATAACTCACTCAAGTCTTAAAGTTACAATCGCCTGCGACACACATCACAGACGCAGGTGTACACATGTCACTATCTTCTACAACACACAACATGGATTCAGATTTCTGCCCTGCCCTATCAAACATGATTCTACCCAAAACTACAACAAGAAAGGTTTATAAGCTATGACCAGTGTAACAAGAAGATGTGTGGACTGGCTGCAGTCTACAGATCCCCTAGACAGAGTATGGACTGGCTACAGTCTACAGATCCCCTAGACAGAGTATGGACTGGCTACAGTCTACAGATCCCCTAGACAGAGTATGGACTGGCTACAGTCTACAGATCCCCTAGACAGAGTATGGACTGGCTACAGTCTACAGATCCCCTAGTCAGAGTATGGACTGGCTACAGTCTACAGATCCCCTAGTCAGAGTATGGACTGGCTACAGTCTACAGATCCCCTAGACAGAGTATAAACTGGCTGCAGTCTACAGATCCCCTAGACAGAGTATGGACTGGCTACAGTCTACAGATCCCCTAGACAGAGTATGGACTGGCTACAGTCTACAGATCCCCTAGACAGAGTATGGACTGGCTACAGTCTACAGATCCCCTAGACAGAGTATAGACTGGCTACAGTCTACAGATCCCCTAGACAGAGTATGGACTGGCTACAGTCTACAGATCCCCTAGACAGAGTATGGACTGGCTACAGTCCACAGATCCCCAGGACAGAGTGTGGACTGGCCAGAGTCTACAGATTCCCTAGACAGAGTATGGACTGGCTACAGTCTAAAGATCCCCCGGACAGAGTATGGACTGGCTACAGTCTACAGATCCCCTAGACAGAGTATGGACTGGCTACAGTCTACAGATCCCCCGGACAGAGTGTGGACTGGCTACAGTCTACAGATCCCCAGGACAGAGTGTGGACTGGCCAGAGTCTACAGATTCCCTAGACAGAGTATGGACTGGCTACAGTCTACAGATCCCCCGGACAGAGTATGGACTGGCTACAGTCTACAGATCCCCCGGACAGAGTATGGACTGGCTGCAGTCTACAGATCCCCTAGTCAGAGTATGGACTGGCTGCAGTCTACAGATCCCCCGGACAGAGTATGGACTGGCTACAGTCTACAGATCCCCTAGACAGAGTATGGACTGGCTACAGTCTACAGATCCCCTAGACAGAGTATGGACTGGCTACAGTCTACATATCCCCTAGACAGAGTATGGACTGGCTACAGTCTACAGTTCCCCTAGACAGAGTATGGACTGGCTACAGTCTACAGATCCCCTAGACAGAGTATGGACTGGCTACAGTCTACAGATCCCCTAGACAGAGTATGGACTGGCTACAGTCTACAGTTCCCCTAGACAGAGTATGGACTGGCTACAGTCTACAGATCCCCTAGACAGAGTATGGACTGGCTACAGTCTACAGATCCCCTAGACAGAGTGTGGACTGGCTACAGTCTACAGATCCCCTAGACAGAGTATGAACTGGCTACAGTCTACAGATCCCCTAGACAGAGTATGGACTGGCTACAGTCTACAGATCCCCCGGACAGAGTGTGGACTGGCTACAGTCTACATATCCCCCGGACAGAGTATGGACTGGCTGCAGTCTACAGATCCCCCGGACAGAGTATGGACTAGCTGCAGTCTACATATCCCCCGGACAGAGTGTGGACTGGATACAGTCTACAGATCACCCGGACAGAGTGTGGACTGGCTACAGTCTACAGATCCCCCGGACAGAGTATGGACTGGCTGCAGTCTACAGATCCCCTAGACAGAGTATGGACTGGCTACAGTTTACAGATCCCCCGGACAGAGTGTGGACTGGCTACAGTCTACAGATCCCCTAGTCAGAGTATGGACTGGCTGCAGTCTACAGATCCCCCGGACAGAGTGTGGACTGGCTACAGTCTACAGATCCCCCGGACAGAGTGTGGACTGGCCTCAATCTACAGATCCCCTAGACAGAGTATGGACTGGCTACAGTCTACAGATCCCCCGGACAGAGTGTGGACTGGCCTCAATCTACAGATCCCCTAGACAGAGTATGGACTGGCTACAGTCTACAGATCCCCTAGACAGAGTATGGACTGGCTACAGTCTACAGATCCCCTAGACAGAGTATGGACTGGCTACAGTCTACAGATCCCCTAGACAGAGTGTGGACTGGCTGCAGTCTACAGATCCCCTAGACAGAGTATGGACTGGCTACAGTCTACAGTTGCCCTAGACAGAGTATGGACTGGCTTAGCCACCCGTTCACCAACATTTGTGCAAACATTTCAACAGAGAAACATTAAATTTCATTATGCATGATTAGAAAAACGAAAATAACAGTGATATATTTTATTATATGGAAACAAAATCAATGCATTAGATGAAAATAGAAACATGGATGAATGTACAATTCTGCAACAATCTGATGCAGGGAAAAGTTATATAAATGCATCAACAAATGAACTGGATACATTGTCCGTGAGGCTGGATGACAGAAGTCAGTTTCTGTCTTTAATTGTAACAAGTTGACACAACCAACGTTGTTGTTGTAAGTTGGACATGGACAATAATAAGCCACAGGTTATCAAGGTGGGTCTACACTGACAACCCAATATCTGGGGTTCCACTCAAACAATGACAACCCAAGGTCTGGGAGTACCATTCAAACACTGACAACCCAAGGTTGGTAAGGGCCACTCAAACAATGGCAACCCAAAATCTGGGACTGCCCCTCAAACAATGACAACCCAGGGTCTGGGATTGCCACTGACAACCCAAAATCTGTGAGTGCCACTCAAACAATGATAACCCAAGGTATGGGAGTGCCACTCAAACAATGACAACTCAATATCTGTGAGTGCCATTCAAACAATGAAAACTCAATATCTAGGAGTGCCACTCATACAGTGACAACCCAAGGTCTGGCGGTGCCACTCAAACATAGACAACCCAACATCTGGAAGTGCCACTCATACAATGACAACCTTTGGTAGATAGATCATTGTGTCCCTGTGGACACGGCCAGGTCTAGTTGCTACTCTGTCACTGTTACCCAATATATATGCCCACTGTAGGGCAGAGGAAAACAACAAATATTATGGGAATATAAATATATAAATATATTATTTATCATTATGGGGGAAAAATGGTTAAGGAAACGGTCGGCGGTGAAGGCACATCCACTGATGACACGAGCCGGGGGATTTGTTTTTAGAATCAGTCAGCTGTGAGTGACGGCACCGGCACTGTGGTCTCACTGCGCGAGATGGCATATTTTATTTACACTGTATTTATATGACATCATACCATTCTGATATTTCTGTAATAGGAACAACTCACTATTTTAAAAATTACTGGAGAGGTTTATAGAAATGAAACTGCTATAATTATTTACAAAAAAAAAAATTAGTGATAATTTTGAGCAATGTATAACATTATTATTCACTGTCTTTCCCAATAGAACAGTTTTTTTTTGCAGCACTAGAATTCACTTTGTGCTCGCTTGGCCCAGGGAAAGCAAGACTTAAAACTCTTGTCATAAAATAGAAAACACTGCATGTGGACAGCCAGTATTGGAAACCTCTGAACATAGTCATGCAGCATCACCAACAAACAGAAAGATGCAGCCTCATCTAGCGTAGATCTGAGAATGTGCAACAATAAAAGCTAACAGTCCTGTCTATGCATAGAATTCCTTGTCTGGTGCCCGGACATAGTTGTAGTTGGGTGTTTTCCTGGGCTCGTCCAGTGGATAGCTGCCTTCATCCTTTTTGCGCATACGGTAAACGATGAACATCACCAGCAGCACAATACACAGGAACAAGACTACGGAGCCTCCAATAATTCCTGGGAAAAGAGCAACAATCAACTCTGTAAAACAAACGTAAAGAGCGCTGTGTGCATGTCACATCTCAAACTTCAACAGAAAACTAAATTGTAAAATATAACAAGAGAGCTACATAATGAATGGTTTGTGCATGTAAAATCTCAACCATTCCGGCCCGAGATGCCGCTGTTTCACCCTCACATTACAAATCTTAAATGGCCCTTAAACAAGCATTGCTGCATCTGCTACTGCCCAGCATACCTAGTTACAAGGCACTGGTTCTGTCTGCACCTGCGCAATGTTTAAGAGGACCAAGTGTGATGACATTGACTTAATGTTAGCAATAAGCGAGATGAGGGGAGAGAGCTTTATCCTTTAGTGGCTGCCCAGCATTAAAAGCCTAGGTCAAGCACCACCAAGGACATCTTCTTCTTCTTCACGTTCACTGGCTTTAAACTCCGGTGGAAAGTTCTGGTTGTTCATCCACCTCTGGACTTTAGTCTTGTTCCAGAACCTGAGTGTTGCGTGCACATCCGTTTTACATATCTGACTTATTTATATTATATGCAAATTATTGTTTCCTTGCCTCTCAGGCATTTGCACTCGCACTTCGATGGAAGCTCCCAGTTAGTTGATTCTTACAACATCCTTGCTGGGAGTGGGTCTGTTTTTGTTTTCCTCATAATGGAGCCCCAGAACCCACACGGGGAACCAAGTCAAAACATTGAGAGCATTCTCGCCTCTGTGGTGACGTACTGATGAGTTATGGACTATCTTGCAGTCATTCAGGAATCAGAGCTGTTTGAGCTGAAATGCTATTCAAAGATTATCAGAATACAAAGGACAAAGAATAAAAGAAATACCAACATCCTAAAGGATCTGAACATCAAGAAACATTGGCTAGTCAACAGCTTCTTGTCTTAAAAACAAGTATTTTGGTCTATGAAGAGTCAAAAATAGAGGGAATTAAATGATATGATAGAATCACTAATGTAGAACTTTAGGAGAGAACTAAACAAGTTCCAGTGGACCAAGAGGTGAAGAAATGATGCTGGCATTGGCTAGGACATATGCTGAGAAAATCTGAGAAGAATATAACTAGAATGTCTTTCACTGGAACCCACAGAGGCAAAGAAATAGAGAAAGACCAAAATAGACACAGAGGAGGGAGCTAGAGAATGAAGTTACAAAGATGGGAAGGAGATGAGGAGAGCTGCATGCACCAGAGGAAAGATAGAATGACTCGAGTTGGTTGAAGGCTTATGCTTCAGTTAGGGTTGGAAAGGCAGAAGAAGAAGAAGAATTACTCTCTTTCACAAATTTATTTAAAAATAAAATGTGAGTGTTTATAAATATATTTCTTTTAAAAAACAAACAATTTTATTAGTGCTATCACTGTCAAACGCTGATTGGTGTACAAACATACAGGTCTAGGACTACATGTCAACAGGCATGAAAAGGAAGTGCAACCTGGAGCAAGTTATGATAGAACCTACCTGCAAGTATACCCGGCTGTGTCACGATTTCACTGGCTTTCTCCACTTCCTCTTCCTGAAGCCCACCATGTCCTGGTTTCAGTCTGACATCACCACCACCTGTCCCTGTCTTGTTATCATCCTGAGGTCTTCTCCCCTCCTTCTCGCTCTCCTCCTTCTTGTCTACATTCTCATCAACACCAGCACCTGTTTGGTTAGAATATAACACATACAGCAATACGTGGCAGGCAATAAGAGACAGCAGGAGACAATGACAGTATGTTATCCCATAACCTAGTAGGTGTGAATGCCACTACAAGTTGATACTGGGACTGGTTACTTCACTGGACTGTTTCTGTCAACATCCATGTGGGCTCCTCAGGGGGCCGGGGGGGGGGGGGGGGGTGTAGACCCACTGCCCCCCTAATAAACATGTTGAAAAGCTACCAACAGTCAGCATAAAAATAAGACAGATCTGTAAAAAGGATGTGCATGCAACAATACTGGAGTCCAGAAGTGGATGAACAACCAGAACTTTGATCTGGAGTTTACAGAAGGTCCTGTCAACCAAAAAGTGAAAAGCTAAAATACAGCAAGCAGATTGTGTAGGAGGATGGGCTACAATCTGAGAGCTCTTCAATACAATATTCTTCTTCTAGGGATATGGAAGGTTGAAGGTAGGGGACAGAAGTGAGAGTGTAAGCGTTGTGCGTGTGTGCCTCCTGTGTGCATGCGGACAGGTTTTATAACAGATGGTTAAGTCTGTCTGTGGACCTGTTCTTGTTGATTATTATGTTCACCTGATGTTTACATGTGTGCAATTATGTATCTTTATGTTATCTTCCGTAAAAAAAATTCATTTTTGTACAGATGTGATGATACTTAACCTACAGCCTACCTAAGATCTAAACTGGCAAACTCTTACTAGAATTGGTTGACAGCATCCAGAAGTCTGGCCTCAGGAAACTATCTTGGCTGTACATGCCGGGATATGCTGGGGTGAAAGGAAATGAAACAGCCAACAGATTGGCCGTGTCTGCTGTGGCTAGTGGAGGAAGAAGTACGGAGAGGGCAGACATAATGAATGCGCTGCATTCTAAAGATGCTGAGATAAATGTCAGAGACAATCTACTGCCTGTTGGAAATTGGTATTGAACAAGGACAAGCTTGCAGAAACTGGTTGTGGGGCAAAAAAAAAAAAGAAGATATGCCAGTAACAGCTCAACTCCTACTGGGTACAGTGAGCATGAAGACACTGGGATAGCTGCTGCAGCGGTGGACTGAGCGCGAATAGGTCAGACCAATATGCTTGGATTTTCATACAGTAAAACGTAACAAGATATTCAACCTCTTATACAGCAAACTACTATTTCAGATATCCTGGGCTGTACTGTCATCAGTGGAGAACAGCTTTACACTGGAGCAGTGGTCCACTCATCCACAGCTGTACCGTCGTCAGTGGAGAACAGCTTTACACTGGAGCAGTGATCCACTCATCCACAGCTGTGTTCAGCTGTACTGTCATCAGTGGAGAACAGCTCTATGCTGGAGCAGTGGTCCACTCATCCACAGCTGCGTTCAGCTGTACTGTCATCAGTGGAGAACAGCTCTATGCTGGAGCAGTGGTCCACTCATCCACAGCTGTGTTCAGCTGTACTGTCATCAGTGAACAGTTCTACACTGGAGCAGTGGTCCACTCATCCACAGCTGTGTTCAGCTGTACTGTCATCAGTGGAGAACAGCTCTACACTGGAGCAGTGGTCTACTCATCCACAGCTGTGTTCAGCTGTACTGTCATCAGTGGAGAACAGCTCTACACTGGAGCAGTGGTCCACTCATCCACAGCTGTGTTCAGCTGTACTGTCGTCAGTGGAAAACAGCTCTACACTGGAGCAGTGGTCCACTCATCCATAGGTGTGTTCAACCTTACAAAGATGGCTGGCACACTGTGTTATGGTTTAAAGCTGTGCGGCAATGTCTATAACCTTTGACCCAACACATCCAATTTCAACAAATCACTATTATGTCACCTTCTAAGGCTTATCTCTTAGGGGCCAGTGGATCAATTCAGTTTTTCCTCTATAAAATCAGGGTCCTAAATCCCACACAGGGAAATAACACCAGAAATCAAACTGTACATAACAGACACTGCCACCTGGTGTCATATGTTTTGCTTCTTTCTTCGATGACATGTGAACTAATACCTGTGGTTACTGTACGCTGACTACAAGAGGACAACAGACAGTGACACCTGGTGTCATATGTTTTGCTTCTTTCTTCGATGACATGTGAACTAATACCTCTGGTTACTGTACGCTGACTACAAGAGGACAACAGACAGTGATACAACTCATCACTCACCTTTAGTTGACCGGCCTGACTCATCTGTTCCATCAATGTCGATGTGACCCTATTAAAAAACAAATCATTAAACCAAGCATAGAATATCGAATAGTAAGTAAATGGTAATGGTAAGTAATATCAGTCCATACAACAAAGAATTTAAATGAATGAACTCACCACCTTAGATTGGATTCATAGGTTATGAAAAAGCTTTTCAACAGCAATGATAGGGAATCTCTCTGGAAATGAATGGGGCATCATAGAATACCATAGAAAATTATTAACTTAGTAAAGATAACATATAAAGACATAAAATGTCGAGTTCAACATGAGGAAAAGCTAACTGATATATCTAGGATAAGCACCGGTGTACGACAGTGATGTCCGTTGCCGCCTCTCCTATTTTTACTGGCAATAGACTGGATAATGAAGACAGCAGCTGCTAACACCAGGAATGGAATTCAGGGAACCCCTAGAAAACAGCGTGATGATCTGGACTTGACTGAGGATATTTCTCTTTTATTGTACTCATGGAATCAGATGCAAGATAAGTTAAATATACCTGACGTGAGATCGCAATTAGTATAAAAATCCACGAGGGAAAGAACAAGATCATGAGAATAAACATGGCAAATAGTAAACTAGTTTCTCTTAATGGTATCACACTCTAAGATGTGGAGTCATCCACCTGTTTGGGCAGTAAGGTAAAGATGAGGGACCGACAGATATATTAAAATACAAACATAAAAGGCAAAAGGCCGTTTTACTGTGCTAGGAAGTTTACGAAGGTCAAAAGAAATTAAATCTAACAGTAAACTTAAAATGTGGAAGAGAGAGAGATCACTCATGTGTGTGTGTGTGTGTGTGTTTAGTGGTCATTCTCAGTTTGTTCAGTCACAACGGGAGAGAAACAGAATGTGACAGACAGACAGAGAGGCAGGCAGGGAGAGAGAGAGAGAGAGAGAGAGACAGTGTGTGTGTGTGTGTGTGTGTGTGTGTGTGTGTGTGTGTGTGTTCTGTACTTTCCTTGGTTGGCATCATCTTCCTGGTGGTGACATCTGCTGCGTCAAGGTTAGCCAAGTCCTTATCTGAGGATATGAATCACAACATAACATGTTGGAGGTAACAGATGAGTCACACAGATATAGGGCACATCTCAGTCTACGATTATCTAGCAGATGCTTTGTACAATCACAGGCAGACAGGACCTGTTGGAGATCCAATGCTAAATATATTGTGAAGACTAACTTCATTGATTCACAGGTCGAATAACTACTCAAGTTTTCTTGCATTGATTTACTTACCCACTCTCCAGTTGTTGTTTTTTTTTTTTTTTGGGGGGGGGGGGGGGGGGGGGGGATTTTTTCCCCTTCTTTCCATTCGGTCGGGTGAAGTAATTGTTTTGTGCCTGTTTACAGCACAGCTGTGATATGTGTGTTTTTCAGCCGACACATCTCACTTCAAGGGTAATTTATTCAGCAGGATAGCCTTCCTGGCTTTTCTTGGCAGACTTGACTGAATAGAAATCCATTCTTCAGTGTTCTAACTAGTTTTTATTTTACTCCAGTACCCTTCTACGCACACATGTGTTAAAAACATTTCTCTTTCACAAAGACTGGACATGCAACCATAAACAAAATCTTCTTCTTCTTCTTAACTTCTTCTTCTACCACTTTGGGCGTCAAGGGAAATATAATGGTCTGCTTCTCGCTCTTTTGGCAATCTTGACCATAGACATATCATGCTGTTGTAGAGTTTCTCTAACATCATCTTTCCATCTTGCTCTTGGTCTACCTCATGCTCTTCGCCAATTTTTTCTTTTGGTGTATGCCTTGTATGGTGTGGTGTCCCAAGGCATTCTCTCCAAGTAGGCAAACCGCTTGATCTGCCATCTCTGAATGTAATTTAAAATTGGTTCTCACAATTTCTACTGATGGACAACAAGTTTAACTATATGGATCAGAATCTAACAAACAGTAAGAAGTCTTAAATACAGCTCCAACAACATGAAAGATGACCTGGTGTGAAGAAACTATGCCACTCGTACTTACCACACTTGGGTTGCTCTGGCTTGTGGACCTCGGAGCCTGTAATGCGTTGTCCGGTGCTTTCATGCACACAGAAACACATGGATCCATGACACTGGACCCGGTCAAACTGTCCATCGACTGCACATGCTGGCTGGAAGCTGCCCAGCAGTTTGCTTCTTGAATACTTCACAAGTTGGTGGACACAAGGAGGCAGGTTGTTTCCTGATTGGACAATCAAGTAACCAGTTAAAGTGTACACTAACATACAGAAGTGGTAGGTTGTTTCTTTATTGAACAATCAAGTAACCAGTTAAAGTGTACACTAACATACAGAAGTGGTAGGTTGTTTCTTTATTGAACAATCAAGTAACCAGTTAAAGTGTACACTAACATACAGAAGTGGTACGTTGTTTCTTTATTGAACAATCAAGTAACCAGTTAAAGTGTACACTAACATACAGAAGTGGCACGTTGTTTATTTATTGAACAATCAAGTAACCAGTTAAAGTGTACACTAACAAACAGAAGTGGTAGGTTGTTTCTTTATTGAACAATCAAGTAACCAGTTAAAGTTTACACTAACATACAGAAGTGGTAGGCTGTTTAAACTGACTGGACAATCAAGTAGCTAAATAAACCAAACACAAAGAAGCCAGTTGATATCTGACTAGACAATAGAACCAAACACAAGGAAGCCAGTTGATATCTGACTAGACAATAGAGCCAAACACAAGGAAGCCAGTTGATATCTGACTAGACAATAGAACCAAACACAAGGAAGCCAGTTGATATCTGACTAGACAATAGAACCAAACACATGGAAGCCAGTTGATATCTGACTAGACAATAGAACCAAACACATGGAAGCCAGTTGATATCTGACTAGACAATAGAACCAAACACATGGAAGCCAGTTGATATCTGACTAGACAATAGAACCAAACACAAGGAAGCCAGTTGATATCTGACTAGACAATAGAACCAAACACAAGGAAGCCAGTTGATATCTGACTAGACAATAGAACCAAACACATGGAAGCCAGTTGATATCTGACTAGACAATAGAACCAAACACATGGAAGCCAGTTGATATCTGACTAGACAATAGAACCAAACACAAAGAAGCCAGTTGATATCTGACTAGACAATAGAACCAAACACATGGAAGCCAGTTGATATCTGACTAGACAATAGAACCAAACACATGGAAGCCAGTTGATATCTGACTAGACAATAGAACCAAACACATGGAAGCCAGTTGATATCTGACTAGACAATAGAACCAAACACATGGAAGCCAGTTGATATCTGACTAGACAATAGAACCAAACACAAGGAAGCCAGTTGAAATCTGACTAGACAATAGAACCAAACACAAGGAAGCCAGTTGATATCTGACTAGACAATAGAACCAAACACATGGAAGCCAGTTGATATCTGACTAGACAATAGAACCAAACACAAGGAAGCCAGTTGATATCTGACTAGACAATAGAACCAAACACATGGAAGCCAGTTGATATCTGACTAGACAATAGAACCAAACACAATGAAGCCAGTTGATATCTGACTAGACAATAGAACCAAACACAAGGAAGCCAGTTGATATCTGACTAGACAATAGAACCAAACACATGGAAGCCAGTTGATATCTGACTAGACAATAGAACCAAACACATGGAAGCCAGTTGATATCTGACTAGACAATAGAACCAAACACATGGAAGCCAGTTGATATCTGACTAGACAATAGAACCAAACACATGGAAGCCAGTTGATATCTGACTAGACAATAGAGCCAAACACAAGGAAGCCAGTTGATATCTGACTAGACAATAGAACCAAACACAAAGAAGCCAGTTGATATCTGACTAGACAATAGAACCAAACACAAGGAAGCCAGTTGATATCTGACTAGACAATAGAACCAAACACAAGGAAGCCAGTTGATATCTGACTAGACAATAGAACCAAACACAAGGAAGCCAGTTGATATCTGACTAGACAATAGAACCAAACACAAAGAAGCCAGTTGATATCTGACTAGACAATAGAGCCAAACACAAGGAAGCCAGTTGATATCTGACTAGACAATAGAACCAAACACATGGAAGCCAGTTGATATCTGACTAGACAATAGAACCAAACACATGGAAGCCAGTTGATATCTGACTAGACAATAGAACCAAACACATGGAAGCCAGTTGATATCTGACTGGACAATAGAACCAAACACAAGGAAGCCAGTTGATATCTGACTAGACAATAGCATTACCAAGTAAAATATACACACTGCCTGGTTGGACATACAATGGCTGATGAGTGCATTATCAACATTGTAGAGAGGTAGCAAACACTTCTTAGAGCAGGAAGCTAATGATTCAACCTCTTATAAGGTATGACAGGTGTGCAGTGAGAGGTGTGCAGTCTCCTAATTTGTTGAGAAAATATGCAACTAAAACACATATTTTATGTGAATTTAGCTGTGGTGACATCAGTTTAGGAAGGTCCAAAATGGGCAAACTCTGTCTAGAGTTGGTTGACAGTGTCCAGAAGTCCCATCTCAAGAAACTATCTTGGCTGTACACACCAAGACATGCTGAGGTGAAAGGTAATGAAAGAGCCGACAAACTGGCTGTCTATGCAATGGCTGGTGGAAAAAGAAGTATGAACATGGCATAGTCAATAAGCTGCGTTTCAGAAACACGGAGACAAAGGATTCAGTGGCTATGAACCGCCTGCTAGAAATGGACATTCAACAAGCATGAAGAAACTGATGCGGGGCAAAGAAACAAGATATGTCGATAAACTCCTACTGGGTGCGGATGTTGATAAACTCCTACTGGTTGCGGATGTTGATAAACTCCTACTGGTTGCGGATGTTGATAAACTCCTACTGGTTGCGGATGTTGATAAACTCCTACTGGTTGCGGATGTTGATAAACTCCTACTGGTTGCGGATGTTGATATACTCCTACTGGTTGCGGATGTTGATAAACTCCTACTGGGTGCGGATGTTGATAAACTCCTACTGGGTGCGGATGTTGATAAACTCCTAATGGGTGCGGATGTTGATAAACTCCTACTGGTTGCGGATGTTGATAAACTCCTACTGGGTGCGGATGTTGATAAACTCCTACTGGGTGCGGATGTTGATAAACTTCTACTGGGTGCGGATGTTGATAAACTCCTACTGGGTGCGGATGTTGATAAACTCCTACTGATTGCGGATGTTGATAAACTACTGGGTGCGGATGTTGATAAACTCCTACTGGGTGCGGATGTTGATAAACTCCTACTGGGTGCGGATGTTGATAAACTCCTACTGGTTGCGGATGTTGATAAACTCCTACTGGTTGCGGATGTTGATAAACTCCTACTGGTTGCGGGTGTTGATAAACTCCTACTGGGTGCAGATGTTGATAAACTCCTACTGGTTGCGGATGTTGATAAACTCCTACTGGTTGCGGTCAACTTAAAGACACCGAGAAGGCTGCTGCAAAGGAGGACGAAGCATGAATGGATTGTACGGATATACTAGGATGTCCATGTGGACAACAAGTAACAAGAGAAAAAAGACAGATGACACTTTCTGTCATGCTTGTATGCAAAAGAAGTTGATGCAAATTTTCATAATGATGAAATTTAAAGGTAGACCTGATTTTTCATAATGATGGAATACAGGTAGGTGACATATTCTGTCATGATGTCATAAGGTAAATGTTGCATTCTGTCACAGTGATACCTAGAGTTATATCTTATAATCTATATATATATATTTTAGTTGTGCATCCTTTACAGGACATTGCAGAACCAACCCCAGCAATTTTTGGCTGTTGTGATTTTTTTGTAGGCAAATTTTACATTTAGTAGTTTGCCATTGCTTTCTGAAATAATCTATGTAGAGAGTGAAAACTAAATAAAAACAGAGAATAAAGGTGCTGTTGTGTAATCTCACCATCATCACAACTTGGGTAGTTAGGAGCTTCCATCAGTGTGCCTGGGATCTCACGACCTAGAAGGTCGCTGCACCAACACTCAGATGTGCCCGGGTATCCGTGGCACTGCAGCGAGTCGTAATCTCCATTGGGCAGGCAGCGAGGTACATACTTGCCCAGCAGTGATCGACTAGACTGTCGCATGGCCTCACAGTCGGTCAGTGGGTGGTCAGTGGTCTTGGCTAACCTTGTGGTAGTGGTGGTTGCAGTTGTGGACTTGATGATCTTATCTGTGGACATGGGACATTGTTTCAAGTCATCAGTTGCATACACATAGACCAGTTAACAAACGTAAGAGGCCCAAACAACACATGATGTGTTTAATGAGTCATTTTCTCCTTGTTAATTAATGTTCACATTTGAAAATGAGGTTAAACTCTAAACATAAATTACGTGTTTAAATTTGGCTGAATGGTATCGAGTACAAAGTATAATGAATGACCTGAGGCAAGCATGCAAGTTGGCTGAAGCGTGCTAGGGTACAGAAAGCATGAAGCCTGTGTAGAACGCTTGAGAGGGAAACAGATTATTTAAGCTTGGAATGATCTAGAAGATACAGTCTTGTTTTTGATCCTGAGTAAGTGTGTCTGAAGGAAGAGTCAAAGTTGAGTGAATCTAAAAGGAAGTTAATATCTGCTCTAGTGATGACTGTGAGACCCGAGAATGCCTGGCCATCTTGATAAGCCTGACATCTTGCCAGGGCCAAACATCGTTTGTTCATGTGAGTGGTTGTAAACCTAGAAGTGTCTACATTTGGAAGGGCAGAGTTTAGTCATGTGAGTGGTTGTAAACCTAGAAGTGTCTACATTTGGAAGGGCAGAGTTTAGTCATGTGAGTGGTTGTAAACCTAGAAGTGTCTACATTTGGAAGGGCAGAGTTTAGTCATGTGAGTGGTTGTAAACCTAGAAGTGTCTACATTTGGAAGGGCAGAGTTTGTTCATGTGAGTGGTTGTAAACCTAGAAGTGTCTACATTTGGAAGGGCAGAGTTTAGTCATGTGAGTGGTTGTAAACCTAGAAGTGTCTACATTTGGAAGGGCAGAGTTTAGTCATGTGAGTGGTTGTAAACCTAGAAGTGTCTACATTTGGAAGGGCAGAGTTTAGTCATGTGAGTGGTTGTGAACCTGGAAGGACAGAGTTTAGTCATCCTGTGAAAGGTAAAGTTGAATAAAACTGATGCTTTGTATGTGGCCGATCTGGTCGCCCTAAACGTTTATACCTCTGGTACACTGACGGGAAAAACAGTTGTTGGAACCAATAAATGTTTCATATGGATCAGCTGTGTGGCATTTGCAGCATTCTTTGTTTCATGTTCACAATGTTCAACTATCTGCCAGGGTGCCTGAGAAGGCTGCATGTGACTAGAGCCCAAGAAAGTCATTGCAATGTGTTACTTACTATTTCATCACATCTCTGTATGTGTAGGCAGCAACAGGAAAGATACAGCAGATATGTGTAGACAGTAACAGGAAAGATACAACAGATATGTGTAGACAGTAACAGGAAAGATACAGCAGATATGTGTAGACAGTAACAGGAAAGATACAGTAGATATGTGCAGACAGCAACAGGAAAGATACAGCAGATATGTGTAGACAGTAACAGGAAAGATACAGCAGATATGTGTAGGCAGCAACAGGAAAGATACAGCAGATATGTGTAGACAGTAACAGGAAAGATACAGCAGATATGTGTAGACAGTAACAGGAAAGATACAGCAGATATGTGTAGACAGTAACAGGAAAGATACAGCAGATATGTGTAGACAGTAACAGGAAAGATACAGCAGATATGTGTAGACAGTAACAGGAAAGATACAGCAGATATGTGTAGACAGTAACAGGAAAGATACCACAGATATGTGTAGACAGTAACAGGAAAGATACAGTAGATATGTGCAGACAGCAACAGGAAAGATACAGCAGAAATGTGTAGACAGTAACAGGAAAGATACAGCAGATATGTGTAGGCAGCAACAGGAAATATACAGCAGATATGTGTAGACAGTAACAGGAAAGATACAACAGATATGTGTAGGCAGCAACAGGAAAGATACAGCAGATATGTGTAGGCAGCAACAGGAAAGATACAGCAGATATGTGTAGACAGTAACAGGAAAGATACAACAGATATGTGTAGACAGTAACAGGAAAGATACAGCAGCAACAGGAAAGATACAGCAGCAACAGGAAATATACAGCAGCAACAGGAAATATACAGCAGCAACAGGAAAGATACAGCAGCAACAGGAAAGATACAGCAGATATGTGTAGGCAGCAACAGGAAAGATACAGCAGCAACAGGAAATATACAGCAGCAACAGGAAATATAACGCAGCAACAGGAAATATACAGCAGCAACAGGAAATATACAGCAGCAACAGGAAATATACAGCAGCAACAGGAAAGATACAGCAGATATGTGTAGGCAGCAACAGGAAAGATACAGCAGCAACAGGAAATATACAGCAGCAACAGGAAAGATACAGCAGATATGTGTAGGCAGCAACAGGAAAGATACAGCAGCAACAGGAAATATACAGCAGCAACAGGAAATATACAGCAGCAACAGGAAAGATACAGCAGATATGTGTAGGCAGCAACAGGAAAGATACAGCAGCAACAGGAAATATACAGCAGCAACAGGAAAGATACAGCAGCAACAGGAAAGATACAGCAGATATGTGTAGGCAGCAACAGGAAAGATACAGCAGCAACAGGAAATATAACGCAGCAACAGGAAAGATACAGCAGCAACAGGAAATATACAGCAGCAACAGGAAATATACAGCAGCAACAGGAAATATAACGCAGCAACAGGAAAGATACAGCAGCAACAGGAAATATAACGCAGCAACAGGAAAGATACAGCAGCAACAGGAAAGATACAGCAGCAACAGGAAAGATACAGCAGCAACAGGAAATATAACGCAGCAACAGGAAATATACAGCAGCAACAGGAAATATACAGCAGCAACAGGAAATATACAGCAGATACGTGTAGACAGCAACAGGAAAGATACAGCAGATATTTGTAGGCAGCAACAGGAAAGATACAGCAGCAACAGGAAATATACAGCAGCAACAGGAAATATAAAGCAGCAACAGGAAAGATACAGCAGATATGTGTAGGCAGCAACAGGAAAGATACAGCAGCAACAGGAAATATACAGCAGCAACAGGAAATATAACGCAGCAACAGGAAATATACAGCAGCAACAGGAAATATACAGCAGCAACAGGAAATATACAGCAGATACGTGTAGACAGCAACAGGAAAGATACAGCAGATATGTGTAGGCAGCAACAGGAAAGATACAGCAGATATGTGTAGGCAGCAACAGGAAAGATACAGCAGCAACAGGAAAGATACAGCAGCAACAGGAAATATACAGCAGATACGTGTAGACAGCAACAGGAAACATACAGCAGATATGTGTAGACAGCAACAGGAAAGATACAGCAGATACGTGTAGACAGCAACAGGAAAGATACAGCAGATACGTGTAGACAGCAACAGGAAAGATACAGCAGATACGTGTAGACAGCAACAGGAAAGATACAGCAGATACGTGTAGACAGCAACAGGAAACATACAGCAGATATGTGTAGACAGCAACAGGAAAGATACAGCAGATACGTGTAGACAGCAACCGGAAAGATACAGCAGATACGTGTAGACAGCAACAGGAAAGATACAGCAGATATGTGTAGACAGCAACAGGAAAGATACCGCAGATACGTGTAGACAGCAACAGGAAAGATACAGCAGATACGTGTAGACAGCAACAGGAAACATACAGCAGATACGTGTAGACAGCAACAGGAAAGATACAGCAGATACGTGTAGACAGCAACAGGAAACATACAGCAGATATGTGTAGACAGCAACAGGAAAGATACAACAGATATGTGTAGACAGCAACAGGAAAGATACAACAGATATGTGTAGACAGCAACAGGAAAGATACAACAGATATGTGTAGGCAGCAAAAGGAAAGATACAACAGATATGTGTAGACAGCAACAGGAAAGATACAGCAGATATGTGTAGACAGCAACAGGAAAGATACAACAGATATGTGTAGACAGCAACAGGAAAGATACAACAGATATGTGTAGACAGCAACAGGAAAGATACAACAGATATGTGTAGACAGCAACAGGAAAGATACAACAGATATGTGTAGGCAGCAAAAGGAAAGATAGAGACAGCAACAGGAAAGATACAGCAGATATGTGTAGACAGCAACAGGAAAGATACAGCAGATATGTGTAGACAGCAACAGGAAAGATACAACAGATATGTGTAGACAGCAACAGGAAAGATACAGCAGATATGTGTAGACAGCAACAGGAAAGATACAGCAGATATGTGTAGACAGCAACAGGAAAGATACCGCAGATATGTGTAGACAGCAACAGGAAAGATACAGCAGCAACAGGAAAGATACAGCAGATATGTGTAGACAGCAACAGGAAAGATACAGCAGCAACAGGAAAGATACAACAGATATGTGTAGACAGCAACAGGAAAGATACAGCAGATATGTGTAGACAGCAACAGGAAAGATACAGCAGATATGTGTAGACAGCAACAGGAAAGATACAGCAGCAACAGGAAAGATACAACAGATATGTGTAGACAGCAACAGGAAAGATACAACAGATATGTGTAGACAGCAACAGGAAAGATACAGCAGATATGTGTAGACAGCAACAGGAAAGATACAACAGATATGTGTAGACAGCAACAGGAAAGATACAACAGATATGTGTAGACAGCAACAGGAAAGATACAACAGATATGTGTAGACAGCAACAGGAAAGATACAACAGATATGTGTAGGCAGCAACAGGAAAGATACAGCAGATATGTGTAGACAGCAACAGGAAAGATACAACAGATATGTGTAGACAGCAACAGGAAAGATACAACAGATATGTGTAGACAGCAACAGGAAAGATACAGCAGATATGTGTAGACAGCAACAGGAAAGATACAACAGATATGTGTAGACAGCAACAGGAAAGATACAGCAGATATGTGTAGACAGCAACAGGAAAGATACAACAGATATGTGTAGACAGCAACAGGAAAGATACAGCAGATATGTGTAGACAGCAACAGGAAAGATACAGCAGATATGTGTAGACAGCAAAAGTCAAGCAGATATGTGTAGACAGCAAAAGTCAAGCAGATATGTGTAGACAGCAAAAGTCAAGCAGATATGTGTAGACAGCAAAAGTCAAGCAGATATGTGTAGACAGCAAAAGTCAAGCAGATATGTGTAGGCAGCAAAAGTCAAGCAGATATGTGTAGACAGCAAAAGTCAAGCAGATATGTGTAGGCAGCAACAGAAAAGATAAAACATATATGTGTAGACAGCAATATGTAGGAGCCACTGACCATGATCATCCAGATCGCCCATGCCACTGCCTGACCCTGACCCAGAGTCCATGAGATCTTCATCATCAGAGAAGTCCAGTGAGCCTGCCCCACTTCCAGCCCTGTGGTCTGTGGGCGGTCTTCTCTGTAAACACACAAACATAGTTCAAGTGTACAAGTTGTAAACGTCAGCTCAAACACAGGCTATGCTACTAGCACAAGACAAGAAACAACATAAAACTGCTCTCTGCAACGCTTTAAGGTATATGTATGACAAAAGAAGAAGTAAACTTCAGTAAATCATCCTCTCTATGAAAACATCCACATCTATCAACTATGCCGAGCTGTAGTTTACCTGCTCCCTAGCAGTAAGCAGTACGTGTCATCAAACTGCTAAAGCTGACAGGGGCATGTGAAACTATATATTCTAGGTCACAGTTGTATCACATAGGGTGGCCAGTTCAAAATCATACGAAATGTTGTATATACATAATGAAGTTGGATGGACCTCATCCAACACACTTCAAACAATCTCCAACTGCAGGGGGTTTGTTCATGCACCATTAATGTGCACACATCTGGGTGTAACCAGAGGGTCTGGCCCGCTCACTACACTCGGGGGATAGGCAAGACGGACATATAACCAGATTGTGACCGGTACCATCAGTATTGGAACTCTGCGCTGGCTGCTGAAGATGGGAATGCCTCGAGTGCTGTGACGTCAATTCTTGACTCAACTCAACTCGACAGTGCACACACGTTCTGTAAGTTGCTAGTCCTGATCCCAGGTGGCTAAATATCCTATCTAATACCCCAGAATCAAGGGAAAGTATACATCCGTCTTACATCCATTTGTCCATAAAGGGCATGACTCCGTATTTTTATCTACGTTGATGGACACGGTGACGCACCCTGGAGCTGCAAGAAATAAACATTACACCAATGGCACAAGACGTCTGATTAAACAACGTAGATAAAGCGTTATGGGTCGTTTTACCCTCCAGCAGATTTTGGGGAGGAGATCGGAGCACCTACGGATCTGTCCGGAGGATAACTCTCACCAATCACAGGTGATAATACATACCACCAACAGCAGCTCAATATTATTTACAAATACTGGACTGTACTGGACGTATGCCTAGATTTCTAACCACTGTAAATCATAGAGCACAGACTCAAACACAGCATGGGAGAGGGGATGAGGGAGAGACGGAGAAAAACGAGGATAGGGGAGAAATAGGAGACAACAGAGAGAAGTGGACATGAAGGTAGATTCAGCAAACGGAGATGATCAACAGTTTCACTGGGGACAGAAGAGACACAAACGGAGATGATCAACAGTATCACTGGGGACAGAAGAGACACATACATATGTCTGGTGTGTACACGGGTAAAACATACACAAAATATAGTTAACCGTCAGAGTTACCAATACCACATCCGACCTGCACAAATACGGAGAAGCATGATGCGTGCATATCAAGAACAGTCTATAACGATAAGTCCAGAGTTCAAACCGATAAGAGAAAGACAGTAAATGTCTAAAATAAAATTATCACTACACTGACAGTGAATGTTAACCAGTTGTGGGGGAGGGGGGGGGGGGAGGAGAGAGAAGGGGGGAAGGAGAGAGAAGGAGGGTGGTCACGCCAGCCCAGAAAATTGCCACAGTGCACCTGACAAATACGGGTAGTGACGGAAGAGCTCTAGAATCGGATCTAAGGAAAACAGGACACAGGTACGCTTGTACCCTTGCACTGCTGGTTCTGTTGCACTGCTGTTGAAATGGCTCATAAATTACATCGGTCTTGTCCCTATTTTGTACGACTGACCGGCAACACTGAATTTCTCAGCATATGTTGTTGTCTCAGTCCCCAATATTTTCAACGTTGCTCACAAACAACCACCTCTTGGGCTCGAGTGACCATCCCATTTCTGCTGACCTACAATTCACATTTAAATAAAAACAACGTGTTATTTACTTTCCAGGAGCCACCGCCGTGTGGTGGCTTGACGCGCCGAAGGTCGCGGTTCGGGTCCTGATTGAGCCAGACTTTTGTTCAGAGATGACCTTGACTCCCAGGTCCAATCAGCCTTAAATGAGCACCAAGCAAAGTCCAGGAAAGTAAAGGCGGCTGGCGTGACGTTGACCACATCATCCACCGAGTACCGACTGGTCTATAAAATATAGGTCTAACCCTATATGCCCAATACGCCCTTCAAATGACTGTTTACTTGTTATCCATACGGACATTGTAGCACATCGGTCTAGCATCGTGTCTCCATGCCCACCGTGCCCAACCGATTGGCATCACTGATGTCTTTGCCCCGCAAGCGGATTCTGCAAGCTTGTCATCGTTTACAAATCCATGGCCCCAAAAAATATCGCCATTCTTGGATAGAGATCTGTCGGCATTCAGTCACGTGTGACTGAGTTGTCTAGACACAAATAATGATCCACCTATGTGATGTCATGCATACAGACAGACATTGTTGATATCCTTCTTAAGTTCTTCCTATACACGAACTGCAATTTCTTTATGTTATTGCTTGAATGTTGGTGTCTGTGGCTCAGACACTGCGAACGCACTTCGCAATTCCGAGATACCGGGTTCGATTCCAGCTGCAAACAATTTAGCAGCAGACCGCCTACCTAGCACTGGTTTCCACAGTGGTATCGCGAGCCGGCCGTGAGCAATGGCAAACTACTGAACATACAATGGTCTGGTAAAATCACAAACAGATTGGGGAAAATATGCTAGGGTTAGTTCTGCAAAATCCTGTGAAGGATAGGCAACTTACTATTTGCTGTGAAATAGATACCTGTGTTTGTCTCTACTGGATAGGTAAAACCTAGCTTTCTCCACTTGGTTAGTGTGTGTGTGTGTGTGAGAGAGAGAGAGAGAGAGAGAGAGAGAGAGAGAGAGAGAGAGAGAGAGACCCACAGACATTTGAACGGACGTCCTAAACTAACTACAATAACGGTTATTGCTGTTTGAGATTTACATATGCGTGTTGAAGCTGATGCTGATAAATGACATCATACGGCATCTATTTAGTTCAATCCGAGTCATAATCTATCATTTTATCTCCCTACTCCCTCCTCTCCCAGGTTTGTGGGAATGCACGTTACAGACACTGTCATGTCCCTCAGTAAAATTCAATTCACGTTTTCACACTTCCGCCGCTCTAAAATGCTCTCTCTCTCTCTCTCTCTCTCTCCTCTAGCTACAAGATCCCAAATGTACACTAAGACTCCATTTGGCCTGGCCTTCCATTGACACGCGTGAAGATATGGCAATGTTTCACAAGCAAATATTCCCCAATTTGCCTGCCTCCGTGCCGGCTACCCCCCAAAGCCGGTAGCATCCCCCACAACCGGCCTGACGAGCAAGGATGCGCCGCCACAGAGACGTTATGACGACCTGCCAAACGGCTTGTCTATGATAGATGTGTTTTCTGCCCAGGCCCTGAGCTACAGTTACCCGGCTGTACGTTCTAACGTTTAGGCTGCCAAATGATATTAAAGGATGCAGGGGTCGAGAACGACAGGCGCATCCCAATCACATTCTATTTAACAAAACAGCTTTTTTGCAGAAAGCGCGATGAAGACTACGCTCAAAACGTGTCCTAATGTTTGCTCGGCCGCTGAATCCAAGTGATTACCAACAATCTTCATGGCTATCTCCTTAACCAACACCCATGGCACACATCAATAACCATGTTATTCTCTCTTCCCCCCCCCCCCCCACGAATGTGGAGCCCCAGAGCCCACATGTGATGCCATCACTTCTGCAGACGTAGCGGAAGAACACCAGTCTATGTTTGACTTTTGGAGCCCTATACTGCTGTTATTTTAACTCCTTTTGTCCGACAAAGTGGCACCTGAAACTGTTAAATGTTGGAGTCTGCAAGAGTCACACACAAGACCTGACAAACTAGACACAGCGAGCTCAGGCAGCAGCTGTTAAATCAGAATATAGGCGAATAACGCTCCCACTGGAGTGATTGAGAAAGGCATGATGTGTTGTTTGGAGAGTTCAAGGTTTACAGCCCAGACATAGCCTTCAGTGCACCGGGTTTTGCTTCATATGGTTGGGTATCTCTCTCTCTCTCTCTCTCTCTCTCTCTCTCTCTCTCTCTCTCTCTCTCTCTCTCTCTCTCTCACCGTACAATAGCTTGCCGTCTGATGGCAGCCGTACAAAGCACGAACTAAAAACACCAACGACGATCAGCGAAGATTTCCGTAAAATGGCACAAGCATGTCGTAAGAGTCAACTAACTGGGTGCTTCCTTCGAAGAGAGTGCATATGCCTGAGAGGCAAAAAACCAATAGTCTGCATACAAAAGAGCCAGATCTTAAAACGGACGTGCATACAACATTCAGGTTCTGGAACAACACTAAAAGTCCAGAAGTTGACGAACAACCAGAACTTTCTGCTGGAGTTTACAGCCAATGAACATAAAGAAAGAGCAAGTACATTTAATGCATTTGTCACATTATGTACAACAATGCTTCTTCTTGTGTCGTCTCACCGATACCAGGTTGAAGCCCGGCGTCGTAGTTTTGTCGTCTCACTGATACCAGGTTGTAGCCAGGCGTAGTAGTTTTGTCGTCTCACTGATACTAGGTTGTAGCCCGGCGTCGTAGTTTTGTCGTCTCACTGATACCAGGTTGTAGCCCGGCGTCGCAGTTTTGTCGTCTCACTGATACCAGGTTGTAGCCCGGCGTCGTAGTTTTGTCGTCTCACTGATACCAGGTTGTAGCCCGGCGTCGTAGTTTTGTCGTCTCACTGATACCAGGTTGTAGCCCGGCGTGGTAGTTTTGTCGTCTCACTGGTACCAGGTTGTAGCCCGGCGTCGTAGTTTTGTCGTCTCACTGATACCAGGTTCTAGCCCGGCGTCGTAGTTTTGTCGTCTCACTGATACCAGGTTGTAGCCAGGCGTCGTAGTTTTCTTTATTTGTCTCGCGCTTCTCGTGGTGGCTTAAGTGATGGATTTGTTCATCTTTTTGCAGGTTTCGGCTACACCATTAATCCATATCTTTCTTGGTCTTCCTCTCGCCTTCCTCCCAGATTTTCTGCTGTAGAGTCTAATATGAAGTTTGGTCTGTCTGCATTCTCACTAGATGGCTGAACTATTTCA